GCAATGGGTGTAGACCTCGTACTCCTTGTCCCGTGGGTTGTTATCGAGCAACTGGTGCGGGTTATAGATCAAGTCGATGCGATCAATCAGAGAGTCGACCCAGCCGTCTTTTTCTAGAGTCTTCGAGTTGGTACAGTGGGTGCGCTTGACGTAAGGTAGATCAAACTCTCGCCGCTTGGGGATGATCCATCTTCCAGTCATCTGGGACATGTCCTCTTCGAATTCGTCGATGACGAGAGTCTCATTTTCGAAGAAACCCTTGAGGGCCCGGAACTTGTTGAACCATTGATCAACACTCTCGTCATACTTGTCGTCTTTGCTAGTCGGGCACCATTGGGCGTAGACCACGATGACGGCAGGGAAGCGACCATTGAGCCACTCGAGGAATTCATCTGCAAGCGTGTTCTTGATCTTGTTTTGGATGTGTTCCCAAAGACCACCATTATTCAGTGTGGGGAATAGCATCGCGATTGGAAACTCGGTGCTGAGGACGTTAACAGTGAGGTCAAAGCCTTGCGGGACATTTTCGTTGTCGGCCATTTCTGCGACGGCGGTAAGAAGGTTTTTGAGGATTTTGGGGGAGTAGATCCAGAGTCCTTTGATGCCATGCGGCCCCTTGAATCCGTTCGGGCCGGTGAAAGTCCCCATGTAGCTCTTGGCCTGAAACACCTCGACGGTATAGTGTGAGATGACGCCAAAATTACCTGGACTGCCTCCGAGTATGGCGTAGAAAAGCTCGGCATCGTTCTCTTTAGAGATGTCTCGAATCACACCGTCATGGCAGACCATGCGAATGATTCTGATGTGATCGCCTAAAAGGCCAAAGCCACGGCCGAGTTGGCCATAACCACCAGTTTGGCCATGTCCACCTATACATACGTAAGCACAATCTCCGTGCGGGACGAACAATTGGTTGTGCTTGAGATATGCGTTGAAGTCCTTGAGTTGATTGCTGACGCCGACGTACACCAGTGCTCTATCTTGGTCAATGGGGCCGCGGGGATTTATAACCATCAGGTCCTTGTACGTGTTGCTAAGATCGATCTGAATGTTGCTGCCACCGGTAGACGACGCGCCGCTGTACTGGTGACCGCCGCTCTTGATAGCGATAGCAATTTTGTTATCTCTAGCCCAGATCACAGCCTTAACGACGTCTTCATCTCGTCTAGGTTGAACGATGAGATTTGGATGCATGTTGTGATCCTCCTCGTGAGTCGAGGTCGCATACTGCTGGTTGAAGTAGGTGTAGTCCTGTATCTCAGCTGGAGTGCCATCGCGGGAGTATTGCATCCCCTCAAATTCTTGAATTCGGATCATGATTGCTTTCTAAAGTCAAATACTTAATTGGCTTAACTCTCTAATGGGTAGGCTTGGACATACCTAAGACGCGAGCGACATCCAGTTTTATACTTTTTTGGAGTGATTAGGAACACGAACTACAGGATCAACAGAGGGCTTTATATAACCTGGAGCCCTTGAGCACATAAGGCAGCTCATCTGGAATGCAGTATTAAGTTCAGCTGCTAATAGCGGAATTTGCTAGCCAAGCAATATGTTGTTTTTGCACATTCTATCAGACCATTATTTATGGCGTGAGTTTTCAGCTCCGACAACATGCAGGGTGTGGATTGGGGATAAAGCCGTGCGGCAGCTGAGAGAATATTGGAGTCGGAATGCAGTCTAGAGGGGAGCACTATTGTTACCAGTGGACTTGAAGATTCGTACTCAATCGCTCTCGGTGAAGAAGTGTATCTGTAGAATATTGCCATTACCCCCCGAAGCGATTGTCTTTTTTCACATGCAGATGATTGTCTTTTTTCACATGCAGATGACGTTAAGACACGTGTTTGATGGTTTTGGTGATGGTTTGATAGTGACGTGATGTGACGAAGCAATTGTCTTTTTTCACATGCAGATGACAGTTAAGACATGTGTTTAGTGGATCTACACACACTAACATACAGTTTATTAACGCCCGGCGGCTGAGCCGAAAGGGCCAACCCTACTCGAGTATGTGATTCAAGCCACTGAGATCACCATTTCATCGTTTCGACAGACGAGGCCACACATCACCCTGTACAGTCCCTAGCGAAATCGGCTTCCGCTTTTCATTTACTGATTAATTGTCTGGGGACCCGTTTTCAGGGCCTTTTGGCGCTTACGCCGTGCCTGTTCCCACGCTCAAATGTTCCGCACAGTCCAGTACAGTGCATGTGGCCTCACCGCCTTGCTTACCTAAGAAAATGAGAAGCCTAACCGCTTGGTGGCGGTCCCGCGGTCGGGACCGCACCAAGATGCGGGCCGGCCCTCGAGAGGCCGTTTCGGGCGTATGACTAGGGTACTGCCCTTCCCGAGGATCTATTCCCCTATTCTCTCTTCTGAACTAGACTTCGCGCATTCCTTCTATCACCAGAATCATTCATGCGCTACGACTTGGTCCTCAAGTAGTCCGTTGTGGGCCCGTGCGACACCTTTGGGCGAAGGGATAGCAAACCAACTTCCCTTTCCCTCCCGGGAAAGTTCTGCGTCTTGAGCAAGTCTGCAATCTCAGCGCCTTGCAAGCTTGAATTGAGAACCTATAATTTAAGTGTGATCTATCCTGACATGGGAGATGCATGGATCAGCGAGGAATGCTTTGCCGATCTGGTAGCGAAAGCTAATACGCATCGCTTCTCGAACACTGGTGGGTCGGCATCGTTTCGTTTCGGCTGTCTATTAAAGCACACACTTCGCAAGACCATATACAGCAAGTTACGCTTCCATGCAGAAGCTCCTAACAGTATCCACCAACCGCCGTCTCGTCCTCTTACTATCAAACACCTGTCCATGATGAAAGTCCGGAAACCACAACACATCCAAGCCATCGCCCTTCCACTCTCCATCTTCCCAGCCTTCATCCCCCCAGCCCTCACTCGACAGAATCCAGTCATCTCCGCCTGTCATATACGCCCTGACGACCTTTGTGTTAACGATCAGGTCGTTGCCGCCAAGGGCCACAGTCACGCGATGGCCCTGCATATCTTCCTTCCACAAGATATTGTCGGCCCAGAAGAAGCGTCGAAAGAGGGTATGAGCGACGCCTATATCCTTGGAGCCGAAGTACCAGAGCAGGTATTCATTGGCACTGGTTGGCTTCCGGCAGATCTGCGTTAAGAGGTTAGCTGAGATGATGAGTAGGGAGACGGGGAAGACGTCACAAAATTGTACGCGACATCGGGGAGATGCAGTAGAAAGACCACCGGGTCAATGAATAACATCGGTCCGATCTTTGGCGCGATCTTCGGCGTATGAAGGAGATGCGCAGCCACAACGCTTCCATAGCTTGGTGGATAACCTCAGTGGTTGCCAATCACCATGAACAGGGAGCGCGGGGGGGATACTCACGAATGTGACACCAGCACGAACTTTTTCCACCCATGCGCCTTCAATATGCAATGCACCTCATCGCCCATCTTTTCTTGCGACATTGCCTCTCCGGTTATGCGGGAGCTCACAGGCATGATCTCCAAAGCGATGATCCCCACCTGTCCGTCGGACGAATCGTCACCGTCGTTGGCATTTAATTCGGCCAGGAAGTCTATGTATTGGTAGAGCCCAACACCGATACCGTGGATAAACAGGACCGGGAGTCTTGTCTTGGAGGTGTGTAGCCGGTGCCAGTAAGTCAGACTCTGTGCAGGGGAGGAATGGGTGCCGAAGAGTGTGAGGGGGCGTAAGGGGAAGACGGTAAGAAACGACGTGTGGTGGAAGTCGAAGGAGTGGTAGTGCAGATAGCCGGAGGCCAGTGTGTCGACAATAAACACGCACTATAGGATAGGGTAAATTAGTAGCTGGTTTGGTCGCAGAGGGGCAATTCCAAGCGCATTTCCTAGTCGTCACTTAATTACCAGATACCATGTCAAGCTCCGGTGTAACATCTCGACCTTGTCGAGGGTCAATCTCAGACACTTTGCGTTACCGCGCCCGGGCTCGAACTTCCTCCCCAGCATCTTCTCCATCTCGCCGGCATACTCCTCCAGCTCCTCGTCGTATTCCCAGTCAGGGTCTCCCGTATTTAAGAAGGCCCATCGGAAGAAGTCCTTGACGTTCTCCCTCTTGATCTCAGCCGCCGGCGCATTCCGGAACCATTTCGTCAGGTAGCGTTCCGGATCTGGAATGTTGTCGTGGCAGCGCCGGAACAATTTGCGGCGATCGCTACGGCAGACGGCCGTGGGATATGTCGTGGCTCTCTGGAGGTGGAGGCTGAGCGGAAGGTAGACGACAAGGTAGAAGACAGCCTCGAGTGCGAGCCAGATCTCTAGCATTCGGGGGACGTGAAACAGGGGATAGACGAGCCATCTGGCCAGCGAATAGAAAATGCTCAGGGGCGCGACCAGGTGCAGGAGGAAGATGCTTGTCCGGATGAAAACGTAGTCCCAGAGAGATTTTAATGCCATGGCGAATGGCTGACAATGCCGTCGAGGAGCATCTCGAGTAGCGCGGAGGGAGTAATATTTAAGAGCCTGTTTATCAGCCGACGGCCAAGTCAATGAGCTGCAGATGCGTGCCTTTTCGTTGAATCGACAAGAGCCCGATGGTGGCCCCATCTTCCGGCGCAATGAACGTTAGGGCCGGGGCATCCACCTGGAAACGCGCAGATGGGTGATAATTTGACATGTAAACGGTCAAAATGCAAAATGACGACGCGTTGAGAAACGGGACTGACTGTGTAAAGGCCGCCAGAAACCTAAAGATGGCAAGCAATGACGGTTGCCTCGGCATTTAGAGGATCGATTGACCCCGTCGTAACTAGCATATGTTGGGAGTGGGGGTCCTTTTGTTGAGTTTGCTACGTAGGAAGCGGACTTCCACTGTATTGGACCATGTCGAACAGTGACCGTGGGGACAGGCACGGTGTAAGCGCCAAGAGCCCAAAAACGGGTCCCCAAACAATTAAGCAGTGAATGAAAAGCGGAAGGCGATTTTGCTCTAGACTGTAGCCGTGTGTCTTTTGCATATCTCGATCTTGTCCTGGCGGAGTCGGGTGCTTCAGAGACCTGACTGCCGTACTACCTTGTATAAGATTTGCGACCATTCCGTCTTCTTCGGGATGCCAAATCACCACTTTGCATCCAATTTACATCGTTGATAATTGAGCACCTTGCAAGCTTTGTATTATGGCTACCGAAATCACTCCCGACGGACGCGTGATCGCTCCTCTGAATATCACAAAGCCTGCCCCACTTCTCGGCCTCAGAGGATTCCAATGGGGCCCTGTGGTAGAATTGAACCGCGGCCCGCAGCCCCGTAAGGACGAGGATGAGCAGCATCCAACGGACCAGGCGCCTATGGTTGCTTCTTTCAAGCCCTCCTTTCAACGCCCGCAGGCGCTCCGCCATCAGCACGAGCACCAGCAGCTGCACAAGCGCCGCCAGAAGTCCAACCACCACGACTGCCGGACCGAGGCAGTTGGACCAGCAGCTAGGCTTCGAAGATCTACGGCAGCCTCTCCTTCCATTCCCGCTTGCACAGTTCCAGGGTGCTTATGCTGGCAACGGGTTTAACATGATATTTGTCCCAGTCCCTTTCGGGAGGGACGACCAACTTAAAGTGACAGGCGACGGGCCGAATGACAACAAGCTGATTCTGAATCTCACGACGGAGCAATGGACCTTTGGACCGACGCTTGGCAAGATACCCAATCGCGGATTCGGCGAACAGGAGGACATCTTCCTCGGCGGCTTGCCATATCTTCAGACCGTTCAGAACGTCACAAACGTCGACAGTGGAAAAGGCGACAAGGTCAAGGATATCAATGAAGCCGACGGCATACATCTCGAACCTGGCGTATGGCTCACCGTTCCTGCGGCCAAAACCTTCCACGAAGGGGAAGCCCTGGAACGGGGTAGCGTAGTCCGCATGGCGTCCATCCCCCACGGCACAACAATCAACGCACAGGGGCTGATCCCAAAGCCCAACTTGAGCGCCGATACCCCTCTCGGAGGAGTCAAAATGGGCCCCGTATTTGGTGTGCTTGACACCACACCATTCAAAATCGGGAACCCCAAGAGCAGGGTTCGCGATGTCTTTCACTCGATGACCGCAGATAGACCCAACGAGCTCAGGAGCCCAAAGAATCTCAGCAAGTTCATCGCCGCAAATACCATCACGACGGACATCATCGAGAACCCCAACCTCGTCCTCGCCAAAGCAATCGAGAACCAGGACATCCGGGAGACCATCGTCTTCGAAGTCGCCACGGGCCATCCCACCGCGCCGCTGAACGGCGGCGGGATAGCCAACATCTCGTTCCTCGCCGGCAAGCAGGAACAAGTCGACGGCAGAATCACCGCGCAAGCCCCAGGCCCCAAGGACCGCCCCAACGCCCACGCCGAATCCATGACCAACAATTGGTGGATCGAGACGGTCATGTACGACGTCACCGTCCCCCCGATGCGAGGTGGCGCCACCGTGCTGCTGAAGCCGACTATGCCCAAGAACAAGGACGGGAACGAGTCGACCGCGCCCACGCCCGAATTCGCCATCACGGCGCCGCCTGGGGGCGTCAAGGAGACGAAGACGATAAAGGTCCCGGGCATCCAGATCCAGTACTCACAGACGGTGAATTTGAACTTTGGGCCGAAGAATAACGTCTTGACGTGGCCGCATGTGAGTGTCGCGACGCTGGTGCCGACGGCACCGCAGCCTTTCCAGATGCGGGCTTGAGAGAATAGAACGTCAGCTAAGGTGCCTGCGTTCGCTTTGTTTTGTGGTGGGTCTTTAACACACGCATGAGCCGTATGTACAGAATCGTCGTCCCGAGGGTTATAAAGGGCTACCTTTAGAGGGGGGGGGTTCAGGGCTTGAGAGGTCAGAGGGACTTGCAGGCCCGAGAAGGCAGTTTAGCCACACACACACACACACACACACACACACACACACACACAATTTATTCCGTCCGCTAGTCATTTCTTTGAGAAGAACCCTGCGCTGTGGGTGCCGCCGTCGACGCTCGCTATAGACAAGTCGTCCATGCAGGCCTTTGCCGAGAAGTCGTCGTGCTGCGGGGGTGGTCAGGGGAGGTTGGCTCGAAGTTGTAGGTATCAGGCCGGTAGCACCGTTTTATGCCGTGGCACTCGTTATGTAGGGGCGGCATGAAGCAGATTTTGTACGATTCGATATGCAAGATATACAGCAACCACGAGCCTCTGCTATCCCACAAGGTTCTGCAGAAAATGGCAGAATGTTACTATCTTACTTCTTACGTGATACATTCGTATTAAACTCCTACAGCACCGGCCGCGCTGCTAGGAAAAGCGCGTTTGTCTAGACGCTTCGTCTTGGTCAATTCTGCAGATTACTCTTGCTTCTTCAGGACTTATTTCATCAGGAAGTTGGTTGTAATAACGCCTTATCATCGATTGCATCCCCGCCAAGACTTGTTCCGACATCCAATTCGCGTTACTGCTAACTTGATTAGGCAAGTGGGTGGCCCCCGAGGGCCCTGAAGAGTGCTGACGCCTCGCCGTTGTGATAGTCATTCGGATCAAGCGAGTAGTGCGCGCCAAACAGGTGCCCGGCACCATTGAAGCTTGTAAACACGGTAGATGTCCTCAATTGATTTTGAGGGTCTTGAAAGAAGAAGCCCGACTCGTCACCATTCATGTGCAAGATGACGCCAAGTGTCGCGACAAAGTCGGCCTCGTGGGCGAAATGCTCCGTCAGGGCCGCAAACTGGCCCAGGGACTGGACATCTTGGCCGTCCACAACGAGCCAATCGATGCTGGGGTTCGCAAACGAAAACACGTATAGCTTCTCCTTCATGTCCGTTCTCTTCCTGGCTTCGCCGTCGTACGCCTGCACCATAGCCTGCAAGGTAAGACGGGTGAGCAGGCAGCCTTGCGAGTGGCATATGAGGACGACCTTCTCGGGTTCTGGGGATCCGTCTTGGGGCCACAGGGTCCTGTCGAGTTCCGCCCTGAGCGCCTCTTGCGCAGCCTGGCTCGATCCCGTGACCTGGATAAACCTATTGTCTATCTGCATGTCGTTGGCGTCGAATATGGCCGAATGCTCGCCAAAGCACTCGATTATGTCCCACAGAATTCCGTCGCTGCGATTATACACGCCCGTGACATCCCGGCGGAACGCGTTGCTGATCTTGCGACACCCGCTCTCGAACCATACCCGCTCGTTGCCGATGCCGTTGATGTATATCCATTTTTCTCCGCTGAGTTCCGACGGTGCTTTGCCGTTAAATCTGGCGACGTAGGTCGGGCGTGGGGCCTCATTAACCAAATCACTCTCGAGCTCGGTGTTCATGGTCACGTCAGCGATTGTAGTCGGGGCCGGCCAGCGGTTGCCCAGCCTGATGATCTCGCTGATCGAAAGCAGCACGCGCTGTATCTGGGCGCCAACTGCCCGCTGGTTGGCTTCTATCGTCAGATCAAGCTCCCAGTACTCGTTTTCAGGGGGGGTGCCGGCATTGCCGGTAGTGATGACGGCTGAGGGGCGGATGAGATCATAGAGGAAGCAGAGCAAGTCGCCGAGATGATTCAGAATATAGTTGATGACCTCCGGGCTGGTCTCGTTGGTGAAGATGCCCCGGACAATGAGGACGCCACCGCCGAGGTTGCTCACGAGGGCAATGAAGATGCGCTGTATTAAGGCCAGGACGGCGGCGGTGATGGTGAAATCGCCTGCCCATGACAAGACGGCCACCGCGGCCCAGACCGAGATGCTGTTGACAAGGCTAACGAGCCAGTAGCGCCCACTGGAGACGGAGTTGATGATTGTGATTGCCACGCCACCAAGAAACTGTATGAGCATTTTCTTAATAATTGAGAAGAGATCGCTGATCTTGGCCGCTAGAGCACCGAAGTCCTGGACTGGGATTCTGGCGGTAATTATGATTGAGTTTCTTCGAGTAGTTGAATTGATCAAGGTGTACCAGTACCTATTGACGAACGGAACTGGATCAGACATGGTGATATACACAACAGCTTATGAGGAACACGCCTTCCGAGGCCGCATGTGATACCTATTCTGAGCCTCCCTTGGGCCACCCCGCCTATCAGACTCTAAACTCGCCACCCCACCCGTGTCTCAGACTCTTATGTGCGTGGCTCTGTGTTGTGGCTTGAAACCCCTTCAAGGATCCTATGGAGCCTGGGAGACAACGTCTTACTATCAGCCGCAAAACACTAGCTAAGTAGAGTTTCGGCATGCCTATGATATCGGAAGCTAAAGTGGCTAGCTCGACTGCACATGTAGGCGAGCTTGGTAAATTTCCCAACACATTCCGAACCATATTGTTCGTATCAGGTACAACTGAGTTTCGGCTATAGTATGCAGTGTGCCCTCCACGCGCGTATAAGAAACTCCCATGACTAGCTGCATTCAGCCTTGACATTTGTAGTGTAACGACCCGAACTAACAGGGGATTGTTTAGGCCACCAGGGAGGACAAACAAGGCCGCATGATCGGGCCAAGGACAAGGGCAGTGTGACGACCCAAGCCAATAGGTCGATTGTTTGGGCTGTAGGTAAGTACAAGCAAGGTCGTAGGATCGGGCTAGGGATAAGGGCAGGTTATACGACGGGCAGTTAATTATGTAAGGCACTCTCGATAAGTTAGTAACGCTAAGATAATGGAACTATACCAAGGAAGGAAGAACTATATAACGTAATCCACAAGCGACCCGGCCATACAAGCGGCCCGCCCACTTTCTTCCCTCTAAACAAATCCTCAATCTTTTCCTTCATTCTCCCACCATTACCTCTTATGGCGCAATCTAAAGAACACGACCTTATCTTAGCGCTAAACGCGCTTCAATCAAACCCGAAATTAAGTGTTCGAAAGGCCGCATCAATCTATAACGTCCCACGTACAACCCTCCGAGACCGACGACGTGGCGTAGAGCGCAAACGTGATACCCGACCACATAACCAGAAATTGACCCCGTACGAAGAGGAGAGCATCGTACGATACGTAATCGACCTAGATTCGCGATCATTTCCGCCGCGACTTAGTGGTGTTCGAGAAATGGCGGATCGACTCCTCCGCGCACGCGACGCGCCGCGCGTCGGAACGAACTGGGCTACAAACTTCGTACGACGACGACCTGAGCTCCGAACGCGTTTTAATCGATGAATCGACTATCAGAGAGTCCTCTGCGAAGATCCGGACGCGTATCGCGCGTGGTTTGAGCTCGTACGAAACATAATCGCGAAATACGGGATACACGACGACGATATCTATAACTTCGACGAGACAGGCTTCGCGATGGGCAAGATCTCCGCCGAAACTGTCGTTACAACCTCCGATCGACGCGGCAAGCCAAGAGCCGTACAACAGGGGAATCAGGAATGGGTTACAGTAATCCAGGGCATCGGGGCGTCCGGTAATTCCATCCCGCCGTACATCATCTTCGCAGGCAAGGTCCACCTCGACTCGTGGACGTCCGAAAGCCCTCTACCGCCTAACTGGGTAATTACGCTTACTGAAAACGGCTGGACGACGAATGAGAAAGGTCTCGAATGGGTAAAACACTTCGATTTTCATACAAAGAGCCGTACGAAGGGCGCTTACCGGCTCCTTATCCTCGACGGCCACGAGAGCCACCACTCGGTCGATTTCGAGCTGTACTGCAAGGACCAGAATATAATCACGCTCTGTATGCCTGCTCATTCGTTGCATAAGCTCCAGCCTCTCGATGTCGGGTGCTTCGGACCTCTAAAACGGGCGTACGGAAACGAATTCGAAGGTCTTATGCGGGCGCACATTACCCACATCGCGAAGGAAGACTTCCTCCCAGCCTTTTACAAGGCGTACGACGCTGCAATTTCGAAGTCAAATATCCAGGCCGGCTTTAGAGCGACTGGCCTAGTACCGTACGACCCGGAATACGTCATTTCGCAGCTAGATGTGAAGCCTCATACGCCAACACCGCCAGGTTCCTCTACAGGCCTCCCGCCACCCTGGGTCTCGAAGACGCCAAACAACCCGATTGAAGCCGAATCGCAGACTGAATACATCAAGAATCGTATCGTACGGCATCAGGGTAGCTCTCCTTCATCAATAATTGCAAGCTTACGGCAGCTAAATAAAGGAATCGCAATGATGGTGCACGAGCAAACCCTTGTACGCCACGAACTCGCCGAACTTCGAGATGCAAATGACCGCCTTAGCCGCCGTCGCCGTACAAAGAGAAAGCAGCTACAGAAAGGAGGATCCCTAACAATTAATCAGGCAAAGGACTTGAAGGATCAAATCGATGCGACGCAGCGGTTACAGGCAGAAACGAGTCAGAATAGTGGTCGCGCGAAGAGGACAGAGACGCGCGCGCGACGCTGTGGCGTCTGCGGGGAGCCCGGTCATAATGCGCGTACGTGTCAGAAAGTCGAGTCTATCTCTGAAGAAGAGGATTCTAAATAGTTTTGATTAATTTGAGGCGTTGTGGTTGAATGCACTTCTACATTGTCGTGTAAGTGCCTAGAAAGTGGGCGGGTCGCTTGTGTGGGCGGGTCGCTTGTGGAGTACGTTATAAAATTCTAATTATAACTTAAGGTCATTCTGATGTCATTCTGTCTGTTCATGTTCTGCAGATAACGGTGATCAATTGCGTGTTCTTATTGGCCGGTTCTGTCACTTGAACGGATGCCGGATGTGCGTCTTCTCTACCTCATGCTTCGAAAATGGGGCTGGGGGAAGGAGCTGTCCAGAAGCAAGGGCCGGGCATCGTTTTGTTCAAGAACAGCGACTACCTCACCTACTTGGTCCGCTCTTGTAAACTGCCGCTGCTCAGTCGACCTTATTGCTTCATTCAAGCCTTGCCCGTGAACTCACAGGTACCATACACTCCTCCCCTTGCCGCCTGTTCACCATGACCGCCATTGTCGACTCCGCAACGCAGGGAGCGCCAAATATGATGCCCGACTACGAGATCAAGTTCCTCCCCAAACCCACCGCAGTCCTCGGTCCTAACACGGAGCTCACGAGCACCGTCCTGTCGACCTTCGACATGCCCCCAAGCGTCACCAAGCTGCATGCCCAGTTTCTTGACACGACCGGCAAGGACATCTATACCGCCGGCTGGAGCGCCCGCATCCGTAAGACTGAGAACGAGGATGACTTGGAGCTGACGTACAAGAAGCGGTATGTCATCATGGACGGTGACATCGACGCCGCGCTCACCACGGCTAATAATGATGGTTTCGACGCCGGTGACGCGAAATACGAGGCCCAAGTCGAATGGGGCTACCAGAAGCAGACACTCTCTATCACCCGCAAGAAGAAGGTGGCGGATTCTGTGAACAGCGGGATGGACCTGCCGGGGACGTGCAAATCGCGTGCGATGTTGGTCGACAAAGCGCCCGATAAGTTCGACAACTGGCTGGGCATCAACTGGGGCACCGACGCGTTGGCAAAATCGCGTATTTTTGGGCCGGTCCTCGCCAAGCGCTCGATTGGCACATGGGAGGGGATGCGGCTCTACATCGAGGTCTGGCCCATCCGTAACCGCGCGGGCATAGGAAACGACTGCCTCGTCGAGGCGTCTTTCAAGACTGAGAGCCGTACGACAGCCTTGACTAAGCACGACAGCTTCATCTCCTACCTGCAGGAGAAGGGTTGGTTTCTCGAGGAGGATTCACTGAAGACGCAGCTCATTATGGAGCGCTATTAATATGGAAAGTTATTAGGCGCAAGGATGATTGTTAAGCTAGCTTCCGTGATAATGGACTCCGAGGGGAAAAAAAGGATTTGCAATTATAGATTGAATAATATTGTCACCACGGAATTGAACGAGTTAGATTCATTGTTGTTGTTGTACTTGACTTGACATGACTTGATTTCCGAAAGTTCTGTATTACGCCCAATGAGGTCTAGGGGCAACTACTAGTTAAATACCTAATCCGTTCCGGCGGGGTTTTTGTTCCATCTCTACAGCCCTTACGTAAGAGCGTCACATGTCTCTGGGTTATATCAATCGTTGTATCAATCGTTGTATTAATCGTTGTATCAATCGTTAGGGTGTTTGAATCTGAAGAAAGTGGTCGACGCGTGTTGTCGTGGTGGGTGGGACATGTCTGACGCGGTGGAGACCGTGATCGTGGCTGAGACCACCGACCACGAACAGTCTCGGGGACGATCGGCTCGCAACCCGACCCCAAGCTCCAAAGCACAAGACAATCAACAAGCGGACGTCGAAATCATCGCAGCGACCAAGAAACCGACCAAGAATACGAAGCGGACAACGCCAGCCGGAGGAGAGGATGGATTGGACACGAGCAGGAAGAGCAGCAAGTACGGAGACGCGTCGCTGGAGATGATGCAGAGGTTGATGGAGCAGGTGGTAGAGTTGAAGCGGGAGAGCAAGGAACAGCAAGCGTCAATCCAAGAGCTACAACACCAACACCAGGGAAGCCAACAGCAGAGCCAAGCGGCTGTTTAACCGCTGCAGCGGCTGCTCCTCGTAAAGCCAACAACAAAAGAAGGAGGCCCAGCGCTAGAACCTATCGTGATGTGACGTTTACTCCTCCTTTCCGTGCGCATCCATTACGTATGCTCCCTTCCGTATTAGGTAAACAATTCATAGCTGCCTGGTCGTGTGGGCTATGCAGGTAAGACGTGCTGCTGGGATCCGACATGCAGCGGCTTGGATAAAGTTAAAAAAGCCATCTAACTGTTGAGAAGCATCTTAATAACTTATCTGGAGAGTATACTTCCACTCGTCTAGGATTTACGCCCTTTCATAGTATAAACCTTGGAGAAGATTTGAGAACATTGACAATTCATCTAGTAGCGTGCTGAGTCGTTGTACAGTGCTAAAACGGCAACTCGCAAATAGAAACACACTGACGCGAGATGAAGAACAAGAATAACCCCCTGCTTGAACACCGATCTGCCAAGCCGAACCATCTTGAAGACTAATGCTCAGCCCCCATCGGACATCCCGCCCATGCTGCATGCACACCTGCCTAGGTACCTAGTGAATCAGCACTTGATCGCCCCACGGCCTCGCAGCAATAGCCTCGAGCTGCTTCATGCCTCCCTCCGAGAACCCATTGACGCCGTATGCAAGCTGCGCGTCTCGCAGCGGCGACCGCAGGAAGGCGACCACGACCATCCTCATCTCCAGGTTTGCAATGTGCATGCCCAGGCAGATGCGCGTGCCCCCGCCGAAGCTGAAGTCGGCCTCCTTCATCGCTGTCGTGGCGTCTGCCCAGCGGTCCGGGTTGAACGTGTCTGGGTCAGGATAGACGGCCGGGTCGCGCGAGATACTGTAGGCGATGGGGGAGAAGGTCATGCCGGCGGGGACAAAGTGTCCGCAGATGGTGCGACCACCAGCAGGCTGTGTGGGTGATGTCAGCAGACGCCATGGTGTTTTATCATCGACACCCCTATTAATGCAAGCTTCAAGGAAGCTCAACATCAAAGCTTCTTGAAATGTGCATACGTACCACCTTGCGGGTAGCGGTCCCGGCGCGGCGCCATACAGTCTCATGACCTCCAGCATGAAGTGATCAAGATACTTCAGCTTCCCGAGTTCCTCAATACCGGGGTTACCCGGCAATCGCGCTTGCTCAATCTCCTCCACCAGCTTGGCCTTGACATCCGGATACTTGGCCAACAACCACAGCATATAAGCCAGCGTGTTTGCGGTGGTATCTGTCCCCGCGAGCATGAGGATCACCGCATTCGACAAGATCTCGGGCTCCGATATCCTACCCTCGCGCGCCTGCGTCTCGAGCGCCTTGTCGAGTAGGATGGTGTACGAGGTGGTCCCCGAGCCGAGGCGCGCGCGGTAGTCGTCAATGTACGACTTGGCAAAGGAAGCGAGCCGCGTGGACACACCACGGAGCGTGGCGAAGGGGAAGAACGGCAGGTGGCGCATCTTGGCGAAGTCCCCTTGCCATAGGGCCAGGCGGAAGATGTTGAGCGGCATGACGCGTTTGATGTCTTTAACGTATTGATGTTCCTGAAGAGAGTGGTATAGGTTTCAGCTTCTATTAGCTTTTTTCTTTTATACTGAGCTGCCTGTGGACTCGTACAGTCGCTCCGGCATCACGGAAGGCGGCTGGATAACGTACCTCACCAGTCTCCAACATCCCCAGCGACGAGCCTACGCTCAGCTCCCCTGTGATATCGGACGTAAAGCTCTTGAGCCACTTCACCAGGTCGACATATCCCTGCTCTCTTCGCTCCCGCTCGATTTTTCTAATCAGGATTTCCACGTACTTCTGGATCAGCGGCTGAAAGGTGATCAGGTTCGACTGCGAGACGGCCTTGGCGAACAAGCGGCGCCACTCCGCGTGGTAGACCGGGTCCGCGGTCGTGAAGACGTTCTGGGCCTCGTCAAAGGACGCGTCCTCGTAGAACTGCGTCTTCAGATACTCGCTGCGGAACTTGTGAATCTCCTTTGCGGCTTTCGGGTCCGAGATTGAGACTTCGCTGGGCGTGACACGGACGATGGGACCTGAGAGCATGATATTGTGAGCTATCATGGTCACTTTTTTCCTCCTTACTGTCGCTAGAGTGGATAGAGTAAGTTACGTACCATGGCGCTTATGCAGATCGTGCAGGAAATACATTATCGTGCCGTGATAGACCTGGTAGACGACGGGCAGGCCGGTGAACTTGCTCGAAGCCGGCCCCGGTAATGTGGCTAGTGGCCCATTGAAGCTGCTGTAATAGACGTTCGCCTACACGATAGTCTCGTTAGCACTGCTCGAGATAACATGAGTATCCGCCATAGGCTGGCGCAGTGGTCCATACTGCTGCATAACAAATCGTGAAGCATCCAGCTCCGATGGCCACGAGGTCAAAGTTGATAGCATCCATCGCATAGAAGATCGGCCTGTCAGGCAGTTTTTCGACCAGGGAGGATTTGGCCGTAGTGCGAGCACTGTAAAACACAGGATGGGACGAAAGAGATCTCCGGCCGGCACTACGTAGAAAGCCTCGTGGAGCGCAGCCATGATCTGATATACATCTCACGCCCGTCGTATATTCTGTGCCAAGCCCACCTCCTCCGTTAACACCCTGTATGGCACAAACGCGGCAGGCTTATTCACGCATGACACACACTGCACGCATACCAAGCACGCATGCACTCAAGCACACTTCTTTTGATCAGATTCTACCCCGCCATCACGACAAGCCTGTCCAAGGTCAAAGCTCATTCGTCAGCCTGATCGCGCGGCCCGCGCGGCCCGCGGCCGTCACTGCAGGAGCTGTCGACAGCTTGCATATAACGCCGCAGAAGTGAACCCCTCTTGCCGTGTGACAACCTCCGCCCCTCTGAACATGAGAGAGTGCATATGCTTCTTGTTCTCGGATAGGCAGGATTTTCACTCTGAAGCCCGTGTCGCATGGGCTTGGTATTGGAGTTGGAGTAGCCTTTGCAACCGGGATCAGCACCTCAGAGTCGAAGGTAGAAGCTCATGGCTTGGCTTGGCACCTTATCGCCGCGAGCTGCCTGCATGGAGGTTGTGCCGCACAACATGCCCAACTCCATGCTTTTGCTGCTGCTTTGCGGCTCTGCCTAAGAGGAGTACTTTGCTGTGTCGTGTGGGTTGGTTACGGAGAGGGTTGCATAGCTAAGGAATGATTGGCTGGCTTACCACCGGCCTGCGCGGTGATGTAGACGTTCTATAAAGAAGAAGTGGTTTTGTGAGCGTTGGGTGTTCGCTTTGTTCTCACGGTTGAGCATCTTCAAGGCGTGACGAGTGAGCCGGCGCCTTCCCCTCTTCTTCTTAGACAGCTACCCCTCAAACTAGAGATGAGAGTCTACCCGTCGCTTTCTGTCTTGAGAGGTCGATGGCTGACAAGGCGAACAGCGCGGACAGTCTGATTGTGGTTGTAGGAACTGTTCCGGATCGCGCGAGCCTGACGGTATCTGACCCTCTCGATGCTCCTTTGTGAAAGTACGAGTTTCGCTCAGTCTTGCCCTTTTGGATTGCGGCTGGTCTGAGTAGGGCTCGACCGCTCGTTCTCTCTTCGTGGTCCCCCGTCCCGTCATATGAATGGCTGCTGTAAATACCTTCGCGATGCGCCGCCCTCGTCGTTGCATTTTGGTGAGCATGGCATACTCCTCCTCGGCAGCCCAAATATCCTGGAGGAGATGATCCCCTGGTTACCGAGGGACGGCCGCGGCCTTTCAGCCGGAGGTTACGATGACTGAGGTTGCTGTGGCGGAGGTTTCTGTTGATGAAGTGCCCCTGAAGCCGGCCCCCTTGAAGTAACGACCACCGAGATCACCGCATCCGAGTCAGAGCCCCCCCAAGTCGCGCCTCTGGAAGTCCCCACCACCGAAATCACCACGTCAGCATCTCAGGGCACCCAGACCGTGACCACCTCCCGCGACCCCTCCTCCCTCCTCACCGCCAACAACACCTACACCGACTGGACCGTTAACACCCGCGCCACCAAGCACATCCTCGGGCGCCCTTACCAGGTCATCATTTTCGACGGGCCTTTCAATCCGGATCGTGAGTGTTGCTTTCTTCCTTCTATTCCTTCACCACGGTCTCCCCCCTTGCTCAAGCACACCGTGGACCCTCCTCCCATTTCTTATTGTATCTCACCTCCGGACACATTTTTATTTCCCCAAAATGGGAATTACCCAGTTCACTAAAACCCACCACAGGACTTCATGCAAGGCGAAATCCCCTCCCTCGAACCAGAGCACATAGTCCCCCACCTAAAAGACCACCTGCACTGGCGTGTGCTGGTGGAAGGGGTTGTGGATGTGCCGTGGGAGGAGGTGCCGGGGTTGGTGGTGTGCGTTTCGTCGGCGGAGGTGAGTTTTGACGAGAATGGGATTCGGAGCTATTCGACGGAGCATACGGTGTATCCGGAGAGTACGGATGGGAGGCCGGCGGGGTTGAATGTTGGGGAGGAGGCTTAGGGGGTGGGGAGTTGAGCTATGGTGTTGAATGAAGAGGCTGACATTTGGCTTACACTTGAGATAGAACCTAGCTAGAGTGCTGCACTGCAGACCGTTGAAATGACATGGGAAATACCGACTTGAATCTGTTCCACTTAATGTCTTTGCCACCTTTGAAGGCTTGAACCTCACTCAGTTATCTTAAACGGCTGCGGATCCGTCGGCACCAGCGTCGCCACGCTAACATGCGGCCACGTCAATATTGCGCCCGGCCCAAAATTCAGATTCACGGTCTGCGAATACTGGATCTGAATGCCCGGCACCTTGATTGTCTTCCTCTCCGTGACACCACCCGGTGGCGCCGTGATCGCAAACTTCGGCGTAGGCGCCCTCGCTCCGGGAGGAAACGACGCCAACAGGACCTGCGTCTCACCTTCTTCCATCTTGTCGACAACGACGTCATACTCGATCCGCTCGATGTAGAACGTGGAGGTCATGAACTCGGTGTGAGCGTTCGGGTCGTCACCCTCGCCGGGCGAAGGGATCATGACACCCTTGACTTGGCGCGTAGTGTTTGCGGATATGACCGGGGGTTGTACGAACGGAGTTTGCGGGCCGGCGAGGAAGGCGATGTTGGCAGTCCCGCCGGCGTTGAGTTCAGAGTTTGAGTTGCCTGTGGTGACCTTGAAGGTGATTGTTTCCTTGATGTCGAGGTTGCTGGTGTCGATGGCATTTTGGAGAACGAGATTGGGGTTCTGGATGATCTCCGTGGTGATTCTGCCAGTGCCTTGGGCGTTGAACTTCTCGAGGTTCGCCGGAACCCGTCGCGTAAGGTTCTCTCTCTCGGCGTTCATCTCCACTTTAAAGAACTTTTGTTTGTCGTCAGGCCTCCCGATAATGAATGGCGTAGTGTCAAGCTTGTCGAACTGGGGAAATTTGGGCTCTCCACCGATCACGGTGGAGGTGTTCCTCTCGGGAACGAATCCTTGCGCGTTGATTGTCGTACCGTGAGGAATGGAGGCCATGCGGCAAATGGTGTCGCAGCCCCCCTGGAAGTCGGCCGCCGGAACGTGAAGCCATATGCCGGGCTCGAAGTGAATGCCGGAACCCTTGCTGGACCTTGGCTTATCGCCCTTTCCAGTCTCCACATTGGTCGTATCCTGGACGGTTTGGAGATAGGCAAGCCCGCCGAGGAAGATGTCCTCCTGGTTACGGAACCCACGGTTCGGGATCTTGCCAAGGGTCGGGCCAAAGGTCAGTTGCTCGGTGGTGAGACTGAGGAGCAGCCTATTGTCGTTGGGTCCGTCTCCACAAGAGTTGCCGAGTGTCTGGAAGGTGCTCGGGACCCAAATCAAGTTGAACCCATTGCCGGCGTAGGAACCCTTGAACTGCTCAAGCGGGAAAGGGAGAATCTTCTCAGGCTCCGATCCCGGTCCTCCTGGGACATGGAGCTGTTCGTCTACCTGAGCTTCGTCCGATGCCGGCGGCTGGTCTTCCGTCAAGGGTATCTCCTCGCCATCGCGAGACAAGCGCCTGGAAAGCTTGGATGTTGGGGCCTTCTTGGGCCCGCCGCCGACCGGGCACCATTGGAATCCGGCAAGATCGAGGACAGGGCCGGGGTGTGTGATGTTCAATGGAGCAATGATATGCCCGTCGAGGGTGATCTCGCTGGCCATAATGTATGCAAGGGTTGGAGATGCGCGTCAAGGAAGTGGCTGAGTGCAGGAAAGATGTGCGAAACGATCTGGTGAGAAGTGTTTGGTTGAATTACTGAGGTCCGCGAGTCGGCGAGCAAGGGCGCGGGAGCAACAGAGCTTTATAGACTAGATGAGACCATCTCTGTCAGCCTGTCTTGGATCTGAACCACCGTGTCCGGACGGATGGATGCTCGTTCGCGGCCGCCATCTTTGAGTGCGTGTCTTGATCGTACCGGTCGAAGCTCGTTCTGTGACTCGCACAAGCGCCGGGCGCAGACTTGTGTGTTGCTTCTTTGGATGAAGGGGGGATCGCGTCCGTGTGGCTGCTTACCATGTTGGTGCTGTGGGATGCAGTGTTCGTTGGATGCTAAAGATGACTCGGAGAGGACCCTGTAGGAGATGATGGTGTTTGAAGCTCTCTGTGCTACACACCAGGCGAGGAAGGAGCGTGGTTGGTAGAAGTAGAAGAGCTCAGCCTCCAACTCCCATTACCCCTCTGCATGCACAGCATCGGAATGCAATTGCTTGGCACAGGTCCCTTTTCTTACAGCAAGCCGCTAGCCGGTACAGATGATTAGCGGATCTTGATAGCCTTCTCTAAACTTTCGAGACCTTCTCATGATCCTCACCTCATACCACCCTTTCTATGAGCACCTCTACGAACGATCCTCTTATTAACATGCTAAAGCTTATTTATCATGCTATGTTCTGCAATCCTACTTCACACTAGGTTAAGTACATGTACCTGGGTTGACCGCTATTTACGAAAGCTTACAGGAATATATGCGTGAGGAAAGCTACGCCCCATACTACCAAGACGGCTTATACGAAAGGTGTGATACCAGGCAGCATAGAGTTTAACCCAAGGGCTGAAGCGGGGTTGCCAGGAGTTGGCACGACATGAGGCAACACCTGGTCAGCATCCATTCAATCATGAGCCATCCCATTGGCTGCGTTTCTTAAACATGAGGATATGTCTCAGAGTCATATGCCAGAAGCTGGGATGTGTTGAATCCACATGCTTTCATATGCGCTGTGTTCAAGATGAGTTGTACATGTACCTTGTGTACTTGAGTCACAAGCTTTGATAAGGGAGTGCCTCATGAAGCTACCAGGTACTCGCGGGGATACTCCGCCCCGAGTAAGCGTCAATGACAGGCCCAGGGCAGAGTCTGAACCACTGACAGGGACAGATCACTGTACGGCATTGCGTCAGTATGAAGCACTCGCGCGGGTCGCATCAGCCTGACGTGAGGACGAATCTTAATTACACTTTCAGAGCATCAGCCCCCTGATTCAGGCAGCCGTAGCATTAACTTTGGATAGCATGCATCATATTCGTACACACTAATGTTCTTCGAAACTCAATGTTTCATGATTCTTTGAAGACCAGTGCGTTTCCATCCAATACTCTCGATAAGCCTACAGTATTAGGGACCCTAAGGCGTGCCTTGTCGGTTCGATAACCTTCTGGTTATTCTATCGGTGGCAAGTCGACGGCGAGGCTTTCCCACGCTTCGCCTCCAACGCTGACTGGTATCACATCAAGATAATCCGCCAATCCCTCCCGGAAGTCACGAAATCCCTCTCGCCACAGACAGCCAATAGCTGGACGAGGAAGATCTACGATAGGTGTGGAATCAAGACGTCAATAGCCTCTCACGCACCCCGGGTTGCTGGCGCCCAGAATGCTGATTTGGCTGGTGTGTCAGAAGCAAGTGTGAGTGAAGCGCCATACCAATTCCGGTTGCCGCCACCTTGGCCACAGCTAATTTGTTATGATTGATTCGTAGGGCTGGCCGCTGGAATCATAGCGACGCCATGACCGGCTACTATCTCACCACCCTGCCACGAGAATTTATGAGGGCAACTGCGGACTTCGATCCCGATTGGGCTGGTTCCTACCACATACCAAGGTCAACAATCAGGCCGCCGGAAGCGCTGAGAGGTCTGGTGTGGCCAGAATTGGAGTATTGGCAGCGGAAATATTACCGGAATGAGGTCCAACAAGATAAGGCCGCTGGCGCCTTCTTGGAGTTACTTCAGTGGCCGCGTGACGTCCTCCTTCAGGATGCGGCTTTCCTGATGGTCAGCTACCCAGACCATCCTATCTTCAAGAGTAACGTCTTCCACACCGAGGAGTTCCTGAATTTCGCTGCCAGCGTCAGGGAAATCCACGAGACTGCTTCCAACGATCCCTATTATGAGATAGTCGAGCAAGCCATCCCAGCGGTAGCTGAAAAGCTTCGGCTGGTGGCCACCCAACAGGCCGATATCTTGAGGTCCAACCAGCGCCTCGAGCGGAAGGTGACAAGCCTCGAACGCGAGGTCCACAGCCTACGCCAGTTATCGTGGAGGGTCACGATGGATATCAGGCCCGATGGCCAAGAGCTGGTTCAGGTTCACCAATTGGCCCACCAAGGCAGCCCCCACGCCGCCTCTCCGGCGCCGGCGGTGGCGCCAGCGGTGGTGCCGGAGGGATTGAATCGAGCTCCCTTGACGCCACCGGTAGCTGTGGCAGCAGCTCGGGGCGAGAGGGCACCTCAATACAGGCTGCCACGTGATATCAAGACGATCCTGGGCTGGACGAAGCTATGGAAGGAAGGGCTGCCGGGGAATGCCCTCAGTTGACGCCCTCGAGGCGAAATGGGGTGCAGAATGGCGACCTCGGAGCGAATCGCCATGGTTCTGCAAGAGGCTAAGGCTTATTAAAGAGGTCCGGCGAAGGGCTGGCGAGAGTGGGTAACACGAATACGAAGTGGCACAGCAAATGGATACAGAACGAGGCAAGGCTTCGGTGGCCAAGGTTATCGAGGCTCTGAATAGCTCCAAAAAGAGAGGATTAGGGGGCTCACTGCCGCTGGGCCCGCTGGGACCTGCCGGGAGGGATGCTCGGAGGTGGTCAGCATTCTAATCCCACGGTGTTTGGAAGTGGGACATCGGCAGCGGCCCTCGCGGGAGCCGGGGATTGATCTCAGGGGTTGACACAATGCGACAACGACACCGTTGGTGAACCTTGAATCTGCCCTGCCTTCGGGAGCCTTCCGGACCTTGACAGGTGGCAGTGATTCAGCCAATCAGCAATTTCGATCCAATGATACCAATCTGGACCAACGCTCTCCGTTTGCTGCTCTTCCTCGGCCATGATCTGCAGACGCTCTGCGCCTCGTTTGATACGAATCGGGGCATCGGCTGCGAGCTCAGGGTGCTTGGAGGACTCAGATGTTCCACCGGGAGTATCGGCCATTATGGCGGCAAACCGACAGTATTTTCCTCAGGAATGGAAGTCAACAGAAGTAGCGCGGATCAAAGATTTCAGTCCCTGAACGGGTTGCTATTTACGTGCGGGAGGCTGCATCTGGGGCTCGGAAGAACTTGAAAGCCGTGAAGCAAACCATGTCGCCCATTGGCGGTCGGGCTGGGTCGGGCCGCAATGGCGAGAGACGAACACAAATTGCCCGTGGCAGCGGGGCTTAATGAAGATTTGAGGCATTCCCTCGACCGGGCCAGATGCATTACAGTAAAGAGGATGGAGTTGTAAGGTTGTCGGAGGTTGGAGATGGAAGGTGGGGCACGGCCTCGAAAGGGCGCGTAAAGAGGTACGCGCGAAGGGCTGAAGCTTGACAGGGCTTGAGTGTGCTGCTCATGCAGGGTGATTGGCCGTTAAGAAATAGGTCCCAACTTCGGCCACGCCGTCGTGCTGTACGGGCGCTTGCAAAGCTCTTCGCATTCGCCACACGACGTCAGGGTTGGACTTCGTGAGACGGCGAGACAGGATGGAGACACCAGACGCGAAAACGCGGTAGGGAGTCGGTCGGGGCCGCCTGGAGCCTAAAGTGGGCCCAGCCTCTCACCGCTTCCCCGCTAAACCTACGTACCTTGGATCGACGATGAGTGCAAGCTGCCTTGCCGTGAGCATGCTCCACTGGCTACGCTGATGTTAAGGACAGAGGGCACCCCGGATCGCTGGAGAAGCGAAAGAGCACATGGTCGCGGCTTGTCCGAACCGCGACGAGACGGACTGGCCAAACACGGCTCGATCAGCTGGATGGATGCCTTTCATCTTTTTCCCATATGGTCTGTGCATGCACCCTCGAGCGCAGAACCTGTGACTTCCATCGCTTGATCACTCTTTGCCTAGAAATGAGCCCAGTCAGTACGAGCGACGACACACCTCGCAGGCAAGTCGACGTTACTCATAACATGCACCCCAAGTATCAAAGGCACTAGCTGCTTATTATAGTCCTTAACTTCAAGACGTGGTCGACACTGCTGAGTACAAGAATGGAGGTACGGCATGTAACAATCCTTACGAGCACTAATCGACCACCAGCATAGAACTAATGTCCCCGATCGGCAAGTAGGCAAGCTGTTGGGGAAGATGTGCCGCATCCTAGCTTGAAAACGTAGGCGAATCTCGGGAGTATGCTTCATATCAGGAACTTGGTCAATGGCCAGGCCAGTATAACGAGCGCTGCTTCCTGATGCCACCTTGCCGATGCATATTCGACCGCCCTTAGGCAGCCGAGCGAGACCGGCCGGACTCGGCGTGTGACACATTGATTCTTCCGGCGATTGTGGGAAACCTTGGAAAGAAGCTCGCATGGTTACCTGTGCCCCACCTTTGTGGAGGAGAGTCACCACTGGGCGGAAGGGGAACATGTATTACCAAGAGGGATAAGTTAGTTATCTTTACGCTTCTTAATAAATGGCCCCAAGCTAATATACCTACGTACGATTAGAAATATTTACCCGTCCTACCCAGCGAGATACCCAACTATAAGTCGTTAAGGTAGACTCCGCTTAACGTTAGTATCTATATATCTTTAACCGAGTCGTTTAAGGTCTTATTCGTACTAGTCCGCCTTAACATAGAGCTCGTTATTAATACTTTTATACTCGTAGTTTAGGCTAGCTCGATCGATATTATTAGATAGCTACTCGCTTCCTATATTAGACTAGAGAAAGTTAAGGCCGCGTCGCTCTGACCGATACAGGCAAGCACTGTGGCAGCCCGCGCGTAGACGTCGCCCATGATTCCGACCTGGGCACTTTTCTCGTGTAGGTCGTCCTGATCGATACACACCGAATCGATCCATATCGGTATCGAGCTCCGATATTGACGTGCTTGTTGGAGCGCGTAGTGGCAATTTTGGCGCACAGGAAAGCGCAGACCGTCAATGAAGATTTCGCGCTGAGGCTGCTCCGGGCCCCATGTATACGATATCGCGTTGAACGCTGAGACTTCACCAAGCTCGCAGCTGGCGATTGTGCATCTGATTTCGTCAGCAAACCCTGCAGGCTCGACCTTTAGCAGTCGGATCTGCTTGCTAGCGTCGTCCAGAGGCGGCAGGAACGCATTCGGGAGGTCCTGCGAGTTTGTGCCCCGTGCTGGTTTCATTTTGTCAGAGTGCCTCACCAACAGCGACACAAAAATCACAAGGCTGTTTGAACGCGTCTCGTCTCAATTCATCGTTGGCAAACTGTTGAGTCGAGACTTTAGATGAGACAATGGGAACAAAGAAGCGAGAGTGATTCTACAGAAGGACAATCGGGCGGGGGGTTACGCAGCCTCTGTTCAGCCACTATGCAGCCACCATGCAAGCATACACGCCTCTTTGGTTGATCCCTGCATCGCAGTCTAGGCGGAATCAGCAGCAAGTACTATGGTAAGGATCGTCAATTCGTCAGCTGAGCGGCGACCGGTCCGAGTCCTGCAAACATGCCTGCTTAGTGGAGAAATTTCTGTGTCTTTGTGAGACGTCAGCAGCGACATCCTGCATGACGTAGAAGAAAACCGAAGGAGTGAGCCGTGCTTGATAGCCGCGAGAGCCAAGCAGTCTCAGAGTCCTACCCCAGCAGGGGCCGATGTTGGCATCCAGTCGTGAACTGCCTGCAAGATGACCACCACGTCTTCAATGACAGCCACGAGCCGGACCGCGCCTCACCCCTCCATATTGCACAGCCTGGCAGAGAGACAGGGGCCTCCCACCTCCTTCCGACTCCGATACTCATCACCCAGTCTTCCCCTTCAATTCTTCGCTAGTATTAAGCTCGTTCTAGGAACCGCTCCTTGCGACTCATTTTAGTGACAGCTCGGTTGGGACTACTATTCACGCATTAAGCGGAGATATGATGCAGGTATCTAATGCAGACCCAAAGCTGGATACCCCACTAGAAATGCGCCAATTGTGGCGTACCACCGATATGACCTACGCCCACTTAAGATCTGGAGCCATATCTGGAGCAGCAGCTGAAGGCCAATTAGAGCCTTCAAACACGATGATGCCGTGTTGTGTCAGCACAGCATCATTGGGTCGGACAATCTGCTCAACCTACACCAGATATTCCCATTGTCCCTTTCCACAGTGATACGAACCTGGACCTAGTCCTACTATCCGGCAATCAGCTGGGCTGCATCCAGATTCTGATGCTTGTCAGAGCTAACATAGGATGCTGATAATCTTCCCAGCTTCGGATTCAGCTCGATGCTTGTTCGCCCGCAGGAAAAACTGTTGCTATTAAGAGCGAAATATGGATGCCAACGTTGTCGATGCACTGGGGCATCTTTAAGCATTGCATGGGCCCACAAGACCAGACTACTTTGAATACAGGGCATTGACAGTCCACATGATCTGCAAGCTTCCTGGCTTTATCGCAAATCCAACGCAGCATGTAAAGCTTGGGTGGCTGGCAACAAGATGTATGACTCTATTCGAATCACCAGAATTATGGTTGCCCGCCGGTCGCGGAGGGTGCTCGTTGGTTTCCTCGTCGCAGGAGCATTGGCAATCATCGCCAGCCCTCGGATCCGGTTGCAGACTAATTGTAGGATTCCGTACCTCGCACTGGGCTCAGCCGATGGTCCGTTGAATAATGGCGACAGTACTGCGCGCGAGTAGGTTGGGAACAGAACGCGAGGGGTGAGAGATTATGCTCGCCAGATATCGCCAAACCATCACGGTTACCACTGACCAAGTCCATACTCCAGCAGTTCGAGAAGATGCTCGTCCTTTCGAAGACACCTAGTTGGAGAACGCGTGGTCTCAACGCTGCTACGCAGCTTACAGGCCTCGACTTCACCATTGCTCCCCAACCACCAGTCGCGAAGTTGTCAATCGAGACCTTCCGCAAGATGGGTTCAGTCGGCAAGACAACGCGCCCGGAGCCCGGCTCGGCTGCAGCATGGCTAGCACATCTTGAAACGGCGCTGATTCTCGAGGACGATGTGAACTGGGATCTGCGCATTAAAGATCAGATGCGGCTCGTTTCAGATAACGTTCGTGCCTTCGGCCGCAGCTACGGTAAGACTGGGCACCAGCTGGTCAGCGATTTGGACGATAGCACACCTTATGGCACAGGCTTGGACGTGCTATGGGTTGGACACTGCGGCTCATTGAGCCATAATCAGAATGGTCATGATGAGAACCACAGAAGA